ATTTTTATTTCCTTGTTTTTTTCTTTTCTTTTTTCTGATTGTGTAAATTTTATTGTTATCTCATTCAAATTTTTTTGTGAGTGAATGATGACTGTCTGAATGAAGCAAGGCAGAAGATGTTTTTAAAGCTTTTACAAATTTCACTGACATGACTGAAAATGAAATGTGTTTAAGTTTAATTGATTAATCAGATAATATTTAAACTTAAGTGAATAAAGGTTTGATCATATTATCTAACCAGCGGGTAGGAGTTCCTTGAAGAATAATGGTCACATTGCAGGTATTTTTGGGTGACTCGACTTTTAAAACATAAGTATCAGTTTGACCAGAGAAATGTGACTTCAGCACCTTATATTCTAATTTCAAAAACTTTGACAAAAAACTTTCTGTCCTGGTTGGAAACAAGCACCAAATCAATGGATAACAGCAGATTTTATCACTTGTCATCAAAATGGGTTTCTAATTTAAAAAAGCCATGACAACAGGGTGGGGTTTTTCTCTCATCCACCTCTCCCCAATCACCCAGTGCAACCTGGCCAGAGGTACCTCCCCTGTCTCCATGTTACAGTGTACTCCATACACCCAGTAGTTACATTTTTTTTTATCAAATTCCATGGATTTAGGAACCTTGCCATAATAATTACAACCCCCCCCCCCCGGTCTGGAGCCCTGTGTTAAGAGAGCAGCAAACCCCCCCCCGTCACTGCTTTGATTGTCAGGTTAGTAAAACAAATGAGTTCCCTTCATCAAAAAAACACTTGATACTTGTGCAAGTTGGTGAACCTTGTTCTTTGTAATTAATTCTTTATTTTTTGTTTGTGTATTGGCCTGTTGAGAGCAAGCGGGGCCAGCTCAATGTACTATTACTCTGCTCTGACTCTGGTGGTGGGGAAGACTGTTGTGGTTCTTCATAATACCACTTTTAGTCAAAAAATTCTTACTTAGTAAATCTGTAGATTAAAAAAATATGAAGATTCACTTGTGATGGTTTTCTCTTAATATTACAAAGACAGTTATGGATTTTACTAGATAAAAGTAAAGAACATAAAAGTACTGATTTTTTCTATAACCTAAGATTCTTAAAAACTAGTTCAGAAAGTTACATAAAATCTTAACTATTTATTTATTTTTGCTATATAAGTATCAAGTATCCTGTTCCCTTAAAAACCATCAAGCATATTTTCCTCGTTGTCTCTTTGATGTTATTTTCATCCTTAAAATTTGTCAATTGCCTTAAAAAACAATTCACACTCTACCTCTAATGACATACCAATTAAACCAAATACTTCCTCAACATACATTGGTTTTTTTTTAATTCCCAAACAAAAAAAAAATGAATAATTTTGGTCACCACAAATACCTCACAAAGAAAAATATATGGTTTCTTATCTTAGTTTTAAGGACATTATACAAGTGCAATAACAAAAAGGCTGTGGTTATAGTGAATTGTATAAAACAATTATCAAATAGTTCACGTAGCACTTACTATATTTCTGAATGAAGGGTAATTTGTTCATGTCATGGATAGGAAGATTATAAGTATAATTAGCAACAAGATTATTTTGTTGGGGTGTGTTGTTTAAAAAATGAATGTAATAGCTTAGAAAGATGGAAATATGTATATGTCAGGTAAATAGGAATGACTGACAGGGTTATTAATTGCACTAAAGCTACTATTATTTACAAAAAAGTCAGACAACCACAAAATGACTCTCTAGTTTGCCCACTGGGCTTTTCATGATGAGAAATGGCTATTCTAAAGCAAGATGTTTTCCATTATTTGAAATTTATAGTGATAGTTTTATCCATTAGCAAAATAATATTGAAAGCCAAAATAAGCAACAAATCTGAGAACATATTTCATGATAATTTGATGGACAACATCATCCATTTTCAAACTTAAGGATAAAAAATTGCCCCACTTTCCTCAAAAACTGTGTAAAAATGATCCACGTTACCCATATATATATATATATATATATATATATATATATATATATATATATATACCTAGTCATCACAAAGAGAAATTGGCTTCAAAATACATAGGATGAGGTGAAGAATTGACTCACAGCCTTATTTTTATATTTGGGCTTGAAGGATAGATTTGGTAAATTATAGCATTTGGAATCATCTCATGTATACTTTGGTGGAGAATCCAATACCTATGGTTAGTCTTCCACCTAGACGCTATAAGTAATTTCTAACTATCCTTTTTATTTGTTCATTTATTTTTATAATCATTATTCTACTATTTTCCCTATTTTTATTTGGAGGTAAGGAGTTAATTTGATTGGCTTCATCACAGGGGGATAGATGCTTCCATAACAACAAGATAAAAAATGGTGGTGAGACCAATGTTTATGATTCTTAGCACTGTGTACTTATACAGCATTTACAGAGAACACTGTACTGTCATGGCATTATTTCTGCTAATGTATTCACTGTAACAGAGAGAGGAGGGGAGGCATTTCTTCTTTTATTTTATACATATTTTTTTTTAATTGATGATTTTATTTGGAGAAAAGAAATTTATATCTGTTAATGAGAGAAATTTTTAAAATAACAAAACAAAACAAAAAAAAGGGAGGAAGGGGGGTCCATGTATTTCTGTCTGGTTTCTCTCCAAAAATCCACCCCACAATGCCTGCCAGATTAATTTTTTTTTTTTTTTAAGAAATAAGGGTGGGTCCCTGACGGTAGCTGTCTGGTCCACGGGTCCCAGTACCTTCTGGTGCTTGGTAAGAGGCCGACTGCCGCCCCTGTGTGGTTTCTCAAAGGTCAGAGGTTGGCTGCTAATGGCGCTATCGTGGAGGCGAGTGGAACAATGTCATACATGACGCGGCTGGCTGGATGCGAGGATGGCGGTATTGCCTGACTGATGGTGCTTTCCTGGCTGTCAGTGTGAGGGTGAGGTTAGGTAAGACTCCAGACTGGAGATTGAATAAACTAGAAGTGGGAGGAAGACCTTGATCCTTTTACTAAAATACATCTCCCACAGGTCTGCCACAGGCTCTCATTAGTGAAATTTCTGGAATATCTTTTTTCTTTTTCATCAGAAATTTTTGAAAAGAATCCAGGTTCAATTAACTTTGGGAGGTATATCACAGTGAAAAGTATTTTATTTAGTGAAATACATTCCCATTTTATTTTATCTTTGCCCATCTAAAGTGTGATTTTGAAAGCATTGCTCAGTCTCTTTTAACAAAATTTTATATTAATTATAGATAAAAAAATGAATAACTTTTTATGAAAACAAAATAAAAATATCAAATTCAGAAAGAGTAAAAAAAATAAATTCCATATTTCTACAAGGAGACATGCAGAGAATACAATGTAAAGTATTGATTAATTTGGCTGCCAACTCTCCCCAAAAATGTTAATTCCCCCTCCTGTCAGTGGCAAAACATCATGTGAAGAACAGGTGTCTTTTTCTTATCCGTGTGTTGTCATTTGTTCTAACTATGTCATTTAAGAGTCCTCCAACAAGTAAGCTGCATGTTTTTGCTCCCATTATTTCACCATATTCAAACAAATGAGTCGTGGAAATAGTGCAGTCCACATTAGATCCGTATCTGGCATGTATTTACATGTTCATAACATGCTGAGCTGGGTTTACATGCATCTCCTATTTTAACATCAATTTAAATGTTTTCTTCGCTGGTATATCTGTAGACAGTAAAGCCTTGGTCACTCTGCTGGGGGGGGGGGGATGGGTCAACACGACCCCCCCCCCTTCACTGGACAGTCTCATGATGTCCAAGGACAGTTTAAGTTAACATCCTGTCTTGTTTCAATGCACCCAGGCGTAGAGTTTTGTATTGTAGATTAAAAGCTTTGCTTCAATTTATTTTGAAATGTTCATTTTTAAGCACCATAATTTGTCAGATAAATTAATGTAGTGAGTGCAAAATACAATGTGACCTTGAAAGATTATTGCAAGTGACTGAATATGTAAATGAAAAATGTCCATACAATTTTTTTTAATTTGCATCTTTAGTACTATTCTTTAGCATTACGACATCCCAAAAATGCAAAAAAAAAAAAAAAAAGAAAAAAATTATTTTGATTTGTATCTTTCTCTTTCCAATTTTTATCTCGGAAGGGAAAAGTAGTTCTGGGTATTTCATCAGCCGAAAAAAATTATTTTAAAATAATAAGTTATCACACTAATTAAGAATATACAAAAAACAAATAACTCATGACAGAAATGATTAAAACAAAGCATGTTTTAATTTTTTAATCATATTTTTCTTTTATTTGAGCATCAAAGAAGAGTTGCACATAGTGAACAAAGTAAGACTGCTGTCATATTTGAGGCAGTAGACAAGCTGAGAGACTAGAGAACTTAGCATTAAATAAACCATACAGAACACAAGACTGAAATTGTAGCTAAGAGAGTCAAAACTGCATTCTTAAGCAACACAAATATAAATGAAGTAGGGTAAGGTGATTACAAAGCTAGTAGACAGTTCATCTTAGAGCATGGTACAGAAAACTATAAACTTGCTACAAGACATGGAATGTTGTGTTTGTTTTGGTATTACAAGACTCACTGTAGACTGAAGATGGTCTCACAAACTAGTTGGCATAAAAATGGGATCAAATATTTAAAAACTCTCTCTTCACTGCTAATTTGTGAAGATTTTATCAACTAGTCAAAAGTCAAAGTACTCCCACATTTTGGAGCACCATATGAAGTCATTTGGCATATACATCTGTCCATTTCTACAGTGAACCTGTTTATTATGGTTTTAGAGTACAGTAAAAAGTCACAAAAATACGCATTGCACATCTTACACCTCTGCTAGTGATGGGTCACAAACTTAGAAGTCAGTACCTACTGGGCTGTGCCTTGTCAGTTTTATTTTTCTTAGAATAGAAAAATAATAAGCAATTTGAGATGAAAATCTAGATCTAGAGGCGGGTTCTCAGAAACACTGGCAAGTTTCCAATGTTATATACACTTTCAGAGAACAGAAAAAAAAATAAATCAGATATTCAGAATAAAATGCCCTTCATTCCAAATTCCATTAAAAAATATCAGACATAAAAACTACTTACAATAACACTATTTACAATGAAACTTGACACAAATATTTACTTCTCCTGTTCAAAAATGGAGATCACACGCTTTATAAATAAAATATGTAAGTTAAATTTACATTATTACAACTACTTATTAGACAACTGTACAAAAAAGTCCATGTCCACTTGAAAAATGCTCGGAGAAAGTGACACTGAAAAATATTTTACATATTTTCTTCCTGAAAGTGAGGAAATTAAATAAAGATTTACAGCCCCTCTTGTCTCTCCTCCCCCCCCCTCCCGACCCTCACCGTGTCACTTAAGCACAACATGATATTTTAAAATGACTAGTTTTTCGTGTGTGTCATTCTAATATGGAGCCTGAGGTGATTCTTTACTTTTGTCACTTTAACTTTGGCGTAGTAGGACAGGCACCAGGTTTTACCTGAACAGTCACTCCCTTCCTCCCCTCTGTGGTCTGAAGCTACCTGAAGGACGCTTCAGGTATTAACCTAACCGTCACTTAGCATATTTTGAACAAGCAAAAAACTATGATCTCCTCACACCCCCTCTAATTTTCCACTTGTTAAATACACTTTAAAGACAAAAATAAGTTACCGATATTTTTCTACTGTTGCACAGTGTACGTGTTTGGGACTAGCACCAGTTATTTGAGTACACAATGCGGAACTCCACTTCTAGTATAATACAGCAGCACAAATAATACACCCTTGTCTTTTTCATGGTATGTGTAACCTGTGCGTCTTAACAGTGCGGGGATAGGAGTGCGCCCCTCGCGGTACCTATATATGTACCATAAATAATATCCAGCTTTCAGTTCTACTGATCACTAGGAAAAATTAACTTAACAGCCAACTTTTAATCTTTCTAAACTCCGTCAGTGACTTGGCAGTTAAAAATATAATAAATAGAGTAATATCATAATAAACGACAGACGCGCCGTTTATTTAATGCTGCTAGAAAAAAAACTTGACATTTCTGCAGAAAGTTTACGTAGCACCTTCACCTTGGCTCTACTGAAGAGACATCCTTCTGTAGTTACAGTTTATAAAGTCTTCAGAATCACGGCCTATGCTAAGGCCCCCACCATATTCGTGGAGAGATTTAGTCCTGATGACGAGAGACCCGGGTAACCGGCTGATGATAGTCCGTAAGAAGATGGCTGAGTGTATCCGTAGCTACCGGCAGAGTAGCCGCTGAACCCGCCGTGTGAGACCATCTGGTGAGAGGGGGGTGTCATGTAGGATCCCCCCAGGGATGTCTGAGGCATGTACGTCGGCATGGGGGTGTGCATGGTAGGGGTCATGTTTGGTGGAGAGAATGGAGAGAAAGATTTGCTGTCCATGGGTTTCAGGAGGTCACTCATCGAGGAACCGCTGAGGCGTTTGTTCTTTTTACTCTTGGTGGACATCTTTCTGTTACGAGTTTGGATGCCGTCTTTCTTCATTGTCAAAGGGCGATTGACCTGGAGAGAAATAAAATATAAACATCAGGACATATTCATTATCTGCTGTATGTGAATATACTGTGATATTTTTGAATGGAAAATTACCTAATTTAAGCAGCTGTAACAACAATATACTAATAATCAAGATCTTACACCTGCGTACAACTTATGATCAAACGTCACCTGAATTCGTTCAGTTTAGCCTTAACGAGGTGCTAATTGCTATTGTTATTCTACACTTAATGACAATCAAAATAAACTCTTCGTTTGGTGTCCAAAATCACTGGCCGTGACTCTACAAATATTTGCGACCTATTGTTGGGATTGCCTTCTACTACTTTACTGATCACAAGAACGCAGGAAATACTCAACACAGGTAAACAATTTTGGTTAAGACCCCCCTCTCTCCTCGAAGTTATGCCACCACCCCCTGTGCCTGCCCTCATTAAGCCAGGTGATACACCTTTGACAAAAGAAACAACGCTTAACAAATTGTTACTATTTGTAAATTAAAGAGATAACACCGATCTCCCCCTGATAAGACTGAAATGAAGAGAAGGGGAAAACATCAAAGCTCCGCACGCGAGATGGCGATTCAATTTATAAGGACATAGTAGCAAAATGATGAAGTTTGCATCTTAATCAAAAACCACTTAATCTTTTTTATAGAGCTGAAGTTTTATAGACCAGAAGTTAGGTTACAGAGAGTACTCTTGCTTTGCAATTAAAATTTAGTGCAATAGTTTTTGGTATGCAATACAGAACGCAAGGGGATGTTCTTCTAAACAGTTTTAAATACCAACGTTAACGAGGTGTACATGTTGTAAAAAGCGGCTAATTGTATCGTTAGTTGACATCGAACCCGGTCGATCGCATAAAAATCGTCCTTGAAGACACCCGAATTAACAAAGGTTTTGGTCGACGCCGGAAAAGCACCTCCACATCGCCCAGTCTTACTCGGTGTTTTGCCATTAATCATTTACTGTCGGCGTTTGACAGTGCGGGATTTCAGGACCATTTATTATTTATTTCAAATCAAATCCCCCCTTACCCCAACCCCATGTCTTATTCTTTTGTCACGCCGTGGCTCCGTTGCGGCTTAACCGTTGAAACGTGAGCACTTCTCCGCAGACGCGCCTTTTAAAATTGAATAGTCTATAAATTATTGGCCTTTTTGTGTTACTGACAAAATGTTCTTCTGATGTCAGGAACTAAACTCATTTTCTTCGGAATCTGTGTTTGGCTAATGTGTTTTCATGCTTTGGCTGTTCCCAGCCGCCTTGCTTTATGCAGCCTCGTGGATTCCAATTATCAGTTCTACTCACCTAATTTATCTTTACATTCATAGGTACAAAAGCTTGAAATATTTTGCTTGGGACATATTTTAAATTCTGTCGAAAATTACTTTAATTTTAGTTTTAAAAAATGTACCCGTAGGTCGCAATTAACTTTTTATGATATATCATTTTAGTTGTAGAAAGCACGACGGGTTTTCTTTGATCATCTTGATCATATTAACAGGCGCAATTTCGTTCTTCTTCAAAATACCACAATATTCAAGTTAATTTGTGCGTGTTTACTTCAAATTTTCCTTCAAAAATAATAATACAAGCCGCCAAACATTTTTCTTTCTTTTCTGTTTTCCATTCCCCCCGCGTTAGTTAAGAAATTGAAAGATCGTCTGCACTGTCAGGCTCGCGCGGTTTTTTGATGAGCGTGCCCTACAGCACGCCGCCATTACTACCTTAAGGGAGGTTAAAAGTAAAACAAAACACAAGATTCGCTGCACTTGGGACTCCGTGCCAGTTACTATTTGTGACTGGAGGCTTGATTGGCTTGCCATATTGGTTAACAGACTGGCGAAGCGATGAGGGCTTTTCTTTTTTCGAAGAGTTTTTAGAAAGCGAACCTCTCACATGGGTTTGAAAGGAAAACTGCAGACGATAGACATCAGACAAGACCTGTCGTATTGGCAGATGTGTTCAGGGCAGATCAAGTTTCATTTTTTAAATACGGGCATTGATTATGTGAATAAATTTAAGAAATATGGTTTAGTTACTGGTAGGCATGTGAAAGACTGGGTAACTTAATTATTAACTCGTTATATAAGTCAGACACAAAATAGGGCGAGGGGCGCTTTTTATAATGCAGATAATTATTGATTAAGGATTTTTTTAAAAACCTAACAACTACAAAGCTTATTCGAAAACTTTTCATTTTTTCACGTGACCCCAAAAACCATCATTCATTCTTAACAAAATCCGTGTCATCTGAAGGGATACCCGACAACTAACAGTCTGGTCGTTGTATTTGACGAGAGGGGCAATGTTTCCGTCCTCCTCGGCCTTGGAGACAGTGATGGTGTCAGTTACGTTGTTCGTCCCGCCTTTGGATAATGGCGTCTGTGTTCAGCTATTCAACAAAACAGCAGGACGCGCAGGTAAAAAGATGAGGTGACAAACGCAGAATCCAGTTCGGTTTAATTATCACCATTTGCTGCTTCATCACTGATTGGAATTTTTTCCTGCGGGAGCCAGTGTTACTTTTTTTAATATAAATTGATATACATGTCGAAGAAAATATTTTTTAAAAGAAACCCCGAATTTCCAAATTCAAAGATATTTACTTTAAAGCGACGTATTATTTGTTAAAATCAGAAGCCGAGTTTCTTTCAGATCATTTCCAAATGCCTGCGTCTCAGCCATGATCGACAGCCGCGGCAGTTCTTTCCGATGCAAGTTTTCTCGAGCGAAACCTCGGTCAGTCTTCCCCACATAGCAGAAAATCCCCAACTGTAACCCTTCGCCCGAGTTCAGAGATGAAAAGGCAACCCCCCTCCTATCAGTCAAGTATGAAAAACAAGCTCTAAGTTGACAAACTTTTTAATATCATTGACTCTGATGAATGGGAAGCACGTTCGGATGACGGACAGCATCAATATGTTTTCCCCTGGCATTTCTAGGTCACGAGGAGCCTCTGTAAACAAAGTCTGACACCAAAAATATGTATACCGAACAGAAATATTTCCTTGATACTCGTGATCGGCGTATAATAGAATTTCAGATCAGAGAGGCATGTATGGAGTGAAGTATGGTTTAAGGGGACGCGGAGAAAGAAAGGCGAGGATGAACGCGGCTCGTTGTTTGACGGCGGCTGCTGCTCGGTGGGGTAGGGCGCGAGACGTCGCATGCCGCTGCTGTGCCGTTATGCGTGTCATGTGCAGTAATAAATGTATGGCATATACAGGGAATATAGTTGAAATAACTGCCAAGATCTACGGCTACACTTACTGGAGAAGAGCGTGCCAAAGGGATGCGGTGGCTCTACAGGAAATTATACTTAAATACTTGTAATATTGCCGCATAGATCTCATTACTGGGATGCAATAAATCATAGCGTTGAAAGTAAAGCTCACCTTTAAGTTAGAAAAGAACGTAAAGAAAAAAATCATTATTTTTATGACTTAACGGGAAAACTCTATGATGCACTTTAAACATTAAAAATTTAAACGGGGTCAAATTTCCGCAAATGAAACCGAGATGATTTTCCGCTTCAAAGCTTAACGTTGTGATTCAACAAACAACCTTTTCACTATGCTGTAAACGCGATATTCATGGACTCATTAAGTTTTCCTGCCATATAACACAGTTTCCTTTTCCGACCAACTCTTCCTGCTATCGTGATCAAGCAGGCTACATTCACCGACTGCTAACATGGATCGATTTAGCCGCAATTGACCGCATTAAGATTCAGTGATAAAGTGATTTGTGTATATTACGCCAACCTTTCATAGTACGAGAGGGGACCGGGGCATTATCATTTCTAGTCTCTGATCGGAACCTTTTCTTTCTTTGGCTTTTTAAATTCTGAATCGCGTATTGTCATTTTAAACTACCCCGCAGTCTAAACAGTGAAAAGTCAAAGCAATAAAACAAGATGAGAGGAGATAATATTGTGTCGTGGTATTTAAGTGAGGTCTTAACTGTTATACTGGCGTATTATGACTGTGGAAGACGAAGAAGCAGAACTATCAATGTTTACATCAAAACAAATTACAGGCAGATTAAATAAATTTCAATCAGGGGAGCCTATTATACGGGGGCAGCACAGCGTAAGAGGGAAGCCTTTACAAGCGGCTGTTGGTAGCGAAGTCGGGGGTTTGAATCGCATAGTCTGCTAAGTTTGTATACCCATTCTCCGTGCCACTTGTGGAAAGAGTTAAGATTGAAACCTAATCAAGCGTTCGCTGGCTTTTCTCTCGACTCCTCTTCGTCTGCCGCTGTATTCATACAGGGCATTGTTAAGACCTCGGCATTACATGCTCTTTTCTTACTTTCAATAGACCAGAAATAAGTTGGGCAAACTTTTCATTAAAGTTACCACCCTATTTAGTCCCCTATACAACTCCGGCCGCTCTTGTTACACGTCCTTACCAATGCGTACATTCAACACAGTATTATTATTCTCACTAATAACTTTGTTGTAGGCCCTTACTCGCCTCGAACATCAGCCACTTTTCAATTATTCGCATCCACTACTCTGCCATTGCTTGAAGGCGGTGGCGGCGTTCTTTTTAAGTCCCGAGCTTAATGTATGAACTATCGAAGTTAAAAATTACAGAAACATTGTGTGTTTTGTTGGGGCGGATTTTTGACATATTTGACAGTGTGCGTTCACTGGATCGTTTGTTATAGAAGGCACGCTTGAATGGAAAGCTGTGTTTACATATTTGTTTTCTCAACCTGATTCATGTTTGGTTTATTTGTCAATCAAAACAACTTTGGTATGTTCAATGAAGTACAGATTTTGTTAAGTACTCTATCGAAAGGTGTTAAGAGTTGCCCCCTAAACAAATGAGAGGAGACCCCAGGGAATGTTTTGAATTTTTTGGAGTCATATTTTTCAGATACGCTCTTGTACTTGTGATCGTAAAGTTTTAGTAGATTTTTACACATACCATATTTCATTTTTTTTTTTTACTATTGTCTAGATTTTAATTTTAAATTCCACTAGCGTCTCAACACCCATATTAAATAATATGAAAAAAATCCTCTAAAACTTATTAAATGATTAAAAATACTTTTACTTACATTGTGCAATTTGTAGTAGAGACCGCAAGCGTTGCAGACAGGGTCGCCATTTTGATTTCTTCTCCACAATGTTGTCGTCGACGTGCCACAGTTAGCGCAGCTTGTGCCTGCTCTTCTGGCAGCTGACTGGAAAAACAAAAACAAAAAATATTATAAAATGATTAAAATAGTTTTTACTTTGTTCTTTGAAACAATAAAGATAAATATATAATTTTTTAAAATGGTCGAGAATTAATTTCGATTAACCATTGTAAATAATAATAAAAAAAGCAGTAATTTTCAATTGTTTCATTTCAGTCGACATGATTGGCTGAGATCAAACACATGTTCATTTCCACAGAACAAGCACCGCCCACGCCTCACTGATTGACAGGAATCCAGAGACATTGAACATTACACAATAAAACCATACAAAGCAAAGTTAAATTACACCTAACTCTTTGTTTAAATAGCATAAACAGTTTGCTGTGTCCTGTTCTTTAATACCTTCTCTGCGTGACAAAAGAAAAAAAGGAAGAAACTGACAAGTGCTAGGATGTTTGTATGTGCTACAAAGTGACTGCATCAACATTGATAAACGTCGACCACAGATGTAACGTTTGATAATGGAGACGAAATACACACTGACTTGTGATAAATTACTGGGCGACCTCGGTTCAAAACAACGCTTCACTTTGCACGACTTATTTGTTTTTTAATCCAGGAAATGATCTGACACACGGCTTGTGGTTTCATGACTCGAACTACGATATAAGCTGTCGTCTGCGCAAAAATGCCAACTGCTTTTTGATAATAAAACTGTAGTAATAAAATGTAATTCAAGAAGGTTCACCGAATAAAATGCTTCCTTTCGAATCGGGGATGTATGGGGGTAATTTTGGCGGTAAATAAAGTTGCTTTGTGAAAAAATGGGGTTCGTCAAATCGGAGGACATAATATCGCCTGTTTCCGCGGAAGACAACTTTGAAATAATGGCTGCCATTATACATTGTTTGAGCTTCACGAGGGCAGTTTAATGGCAATCTCAAAATAATGACTTTTTTGTAAATAGATAGATAAAATTTTGAATGCGAAATATGCCAGTTTTAATTTTTTTTAAAACAATTCATTTTAACCCATAGCGCTTCCATAAATATTGAACGAAGCTCCATTTCCTTCTCCCAGCTTGCCGTGGGTAGCTTATTTAAATTTTTGCTGACGTGCCACGGAGTGGAAAATTATGGTGAAAGTTGTCTGATAACCTTTCCGACTTGAGTGAAAGAAAAATGCTGTCGGAATTGATTCAATTTTCCACACAATGCCACTCGTGATTGAGCTCACCTCTATGGCTGCCAATCACTGCAGCGTCCAGATATTTTATTTCACACGAAATAAATTTGGCAAAACCTTTAACAAAATGTAAAATTATCAATGAGGGCAAAAATCAGTTTGGATAAAAAAATCAACTTTTCAAAAATATAAAGTTTAAGAGCAACAGGTATATGTTTTTTTCAGCGGGGATGGTGTTCTATTATTCATGGGCTTTTCGGATCATGGCGGATCGCTCGGTTTTCTGACCCAGATGGTCATGTCGTTTTGATTGACGCCAAGCCGCTGACAAGTTGATTGGAATTTGATGAACTGTTTTACACTTTGTGTATCAAATGGTAGGCTGTCGGTCACGTCAAATTTGAAAGCCAAACACGAGAGTACTTTCAAGCAGATTTCAAGTAGAATTGATGGCTCGGCAAATGGGAAATTCCTTATTTAGGAGGCACGGGGCTTGCTAGCATTTTTCATTCACAAATTTGACAGCCGAAATGTGTCGCTGTTTGTTTTTTAAAAAACTGTGGACAAATGAGGCGGGCGTCAAAATAAATAAAAATATAATAATGACAATATAAATGAATAAAATAATTACAAAAAAAAAATGATTTAAAAAAATTATATTTGCTGTAAAAAATTCTGTAAAAAACTTACCAATCGTCTTTTTGGTTTAATAAGTGGTCTGTTCTGTCCGTTCATTTTGTGATACAAGCCGCAGGCGTTGCAAAGGTAGTGACCGGTCCCGTCACGTCGCCACAGGGGGGTGGAGGTGGCCCCACAGTTTACACACTCGCGTCCCTCTACAATATACAACACAGTGACTTTTAAGTTTAGAAATAAGGACAATTAAATATAATATTACACCACGGAAGAATTATAACGATGACTGATGCAAAATATATTTTATACAAAGGCATTAAATTGTCAAACAACAATAATATAAGGGAAAATAGACTTAATACTTCTACATGAATATATGGATGGGAAAGATGAGATTATTTCTCAATATGCTGTATCCTTTCTTCACATGTTAAACTGACACCGGAATACACAGCAACACAATGACTGCCAGCTTACAGCCGGTCAGGGAGGAAATCACTACTACTACCCCTTTCCTTTCCCTCACTTCCCAAACAGTGTTAAATTAATGGGGATTTATTCTATCCAGTGAGCTCCAGTAAGTGGCATTCTAGAGAAATGACCTAACTAAACCTCTCACAAGACATCCGGTTGCGGCAGAGGCACTCATTTACTATTATTCCATATAGCCTCCGAGAGAGAGACGTCTATACTCTGTCCACCTCGGTTAGTTAGACGAGGAAGAAGAGGCTACATTTAACATTGCTTGGCTTTAGGCAGTCGGCTAAACAGGGGGCTAAACTCAAGTGTGATGATTATAATTTTATAACTGAATTTTAAGAAAAGGAGTTTCATAATTGCCAAAATAAATTCTAAAGGTCGAGGTTACAGAAAAAATAATTTGCAAATAAATGTTTAGATATTATTTCGAAACGTTCAATTATCACTATTTTGAAAATTTTTAATTTTAAGATCTTCCAGCATCGACAAACTAAGCCCTGCCTCGGCGAGTCACAGCCGACATCCTATTAAACTCTCTCTGCATGACACTTGTCCTAGCGGGCGAAACCCACGACCACCCGGACGCGTGGCGACAGCCAAAGTGTTTTGAAACTTTTCTCTCTTAATAAAAACTAAATTTGTCAAATTCGCCATGATTTAGTGCAGTGGAGTAATCGCAATGGTGAATGAATGACTATGCGTTATTAGTCATTTCTAACGGCAGTGGAGGACGTGGAATGTTTTCGGGTGCTTTACCAGTAACTAAACACAGTCAAATTGGCCATATGAAGAGAGCCAGCTATGTCAGATTTTATCGTAGCATCCGAACGGATAGCTTGTCAACACCAAAAGCGGTGGAAAATTTGAATCTGATTGAAGCAAATCATCCCAAAGACAACAAAGCCCGAGAAGTCGGCCTCACTACAATACATGTACCACAACAACCTATTCATTTCCCGGCATGTTTGTTTGATATTTTAGGTTTTGATGGCGTAATAACGCATTATTCACCGACCTATAGCAACTTCCCTCCCTTTCTCTCCCAGTTTACTATTCAACCTTGAACAAGGAAAAGTATGCCATTTTCAATAAAAGTTCCTGTATATGGAGGGGGCAGGCCGAATTTTCCACCTTAACGGACCCCAATTCGCAGTGTTGATTCTCATTCATTTCACACACCTTCTGAATTCTTTTGAACTGACCGAAACGCTGTTTAAAAACTGATGAAAACTCCCCCGATCCCTCGCTTTCCGATAGTCCACCTGCCCACCACGAGCCCTTTGAACTCTAGAACTCATGCAGCCCGATTTATGATTAAAACTGCCAAGCAGTGACAATTTAATTCGCCAGGAATGCAAGTATGCAGAGTTAAATAAGCGTTAGAAAATGTAATTGCACGAAGGGGAAACTAGCATCGTTCAGGTTAGGGAAGGGGAGGGGGTGCTTTCATACAGCTCTTGCACTAAGGGTAGGAACTTTGGGGAATGCAGTAATTTCTGATACATCTTTATCAAAACAGCAATAAGTTGATTAATTTTTTTTCACATTTTTTTCTCTAACGAGTCCCCCTCCCTCTCCCGTCATGCATGTAGTTTGTTAGAAACTTTACACTGACCTTCAGACTCGTGAAATTGTGGTTGGAAAAGATCGGACTCCCTGTCCTGTTGAAACACGTCTACAAAAGACAAGGAAAGCATGACAGGACACGGTCATTAGGGAAATTTAGTGGAACTTGCAGCGTCCCGACCAAAATCTGGGTCACATGACACGCTCAGAGTGCGACAGGAGACGGAGGGGGTGGATTCGGTTTGCTTTTTTTCAGACCGAGATAGATTTGGTGTCTTAATTGTTAGTTTTTGTTTTCTAAAAACAAGTTGAGATTACTTTACCCAGTCCCGTCCTACCCCTATAACACTCGCGTCAATCACCAAGGTTAATTATTCCTCTGTCAAATTACTGTTATTGTTTTCTTGGAATATTGTGGCAAGGCTGATAAGTTAGTAAGTAAAAACATTACACAACAAAACAAGTAAAAATAAAAAAACTCCACTTACATTCACCGAAAACTAGTATATCTACCAAAGTTAGTACCGGATTAATTATCAATTATTGTCTGTGAGCAATTAAGCGGGTTGTACTCTAGAACTCACCTGAGCTGGATCTTGTCTTGCTTCTTGCTCTAGCTAGGGCTGAGGTGGCTTTGAACATACTGGCGGCGGCGGAGTGGAACCCCAGACTGGCTCCATAGTCTGTCCCGGTCACATAGGCAGGGTAGGTGGCCATAGGATGAGAGGGCATGGATCCGGCCATACTGGACATAGTGGGCATGGTACTACTGCTGGACATTGCACTGGACATGTGGTTTGGGCTGCCTCCAACGTCGGCCTTTGATGGTTTGTTTTCGGGGGAGTATTCTGGAGACGCCTGCATGTCAGGGGTGACGTCTTTAGGCGGAGTCGGCGGGAAACTGAAGGTTGACGATGTGTTGTGGTGGGGGGCGGCTGCCAAGGAGCTGTGCACGGAGAGAGGGGCGGTGGGGCTGGGGTGGCTCAGGGCCTTACTGCTGCTGAAGGGGCTGATCCAGGCCCCGCTGTGAGCGTGTGGTACCACGGCAGACTTGGTGGAGTCGGTAAGCCAGGGGTGGAGGGGAGGTGGGAAGTGCGGGAGGGTCATCTGGCTGCTACCTGCAGAGAGAGAAATAAATACAATTATCTTGACTGACTGGGAGCTTCCTTAACACATGGAGTCCTATTACATGTTAAAATAATTTCTTTCTTTCTGAAGATGATAAAATTGTGAAAAATCTTGCTACCAACAAGTAAGATTTACAGATGTTTTAATTTAAACTTTCACTGAAAAATAATCACTAAGAACAGTTCTTAAAATATCTTAAGCAAAAAAAAAAAAAAATGAAATATTCTCATCCACACTATCAGTCAATGTCTGTAAAAATCACTGGCGACAACTAAATCCTTAAAAACAAACAAAATCATCCCACATCGTGACCACAGACAACGCTCCGGGTCTGGACGGAGTAAATGAGCTTACTAACAACCAGAGCTAATTAATTGGGTTAGCCACTTCGCTTCCCAGCACATTCATGATATCATTTCAGTGGGAAAAATATCCCAGTTAATTGGAGTGTGTGAACAGCAAAGAAGTAATCAGGCGAACAGAAGCATATAGGGACTATTTTTAGTGTTTTTTTAACACTAAAAATATAATATATAACAAATGTCTAAAAACCATCTAGAAACATGCTTTTAAAAAGATATATACCAAAATTCAGGGTTAAAAATAAAAGACCTGGCTTACATATTTTTTTCGGGAGCGGGCATTTGAACGGCAAGGGACGGCAAACATTTGGACATAGCAGCAACCTCGCCTTCTGCCTCCTTCAGCACTTTCTCCGCAAACGAGAACGCTACGTTCTTTCAAATTACTTTCTAATCGTTTCTTTCTTTTTTTTCTACGCCGCTTCAAAAATAGCCCCAGTGAACGAAGTGAGGCAGTGAAGCCGGCTAACAAACAGGCAGGCATTCGTTCTCTTGTCAGACTCAGCAAGCGCGGTTAAATGCAAGCAAATTGTTTTTAATATCATTAATTGTGAACTAATTGAGTTTCGCGGATCGAGTTAAACGTCTGGTTTCCATACTTGTTCAATTTACTTGATACTATGTGACACCGGCTGATTGAGTTGAATTCTCAGTAGTCTCGGCAGCCCTCGAGTCGCTGGCGTTGTGGGATTGAAAAATCCACTGAATTTAACCCCTGTGTTGAGGCTTCAGGAAAACATCGCTCAAAATTACCTCCAGGGCTATGGAGAGGTTCAGTACTTCAGCCGACTAGGTAGCTTATCATGGACGATCGATTGTTAACCAGTTAGCCCGATACTATGACTGATAGCACGGTGATCAACAATGAAGGCTTGTAGATTGTAATTCATCCTCGACCAAATAATCTGTCAATTTTTCAGTAGTTGATGCCGTTGTTTGGCGGTGTTTCATGGTCTCAAAATCAATACATAATTAAGGTTTTAGAAATAAACTGATATCAAAACGACTAACTCACCGGCTTCTTCCATGTTTCTCTTACCGACTCACTCGTGCCTTCCAACCAACAACCGAACAATATACTGCGGCTTTTCTGAAATATTTTTCCTTTTCTATGCCTTTCCTTTACCGGGGCTCCCCAACTTCACATTGCCCTTGCTATTTCTTGTGGTTTTTGCTTTATCTTATCGACTGCAGCAGGAAGCCGTGCTTAACATATAGCACTTATCTTCACTGTGTCAGACGCGCTTACTATGTATTTTTTGAACTTACATATAAACGAGCAGCATGCATCTTATCCACCACATAACTGCTTCTGATTTTTCCTTTTCATCCGTTTTTATATTTGTTATCTACCAGTATGAACAATACGCGCTAAAGTGGTTGTGATTTATTGTTCGTTTCTATATACCTTGTATTTTATACCGCGTGCTGAAACCACGTTCTATTTTCTTTATGTAAGCACTTTGTACAGATCTCATCTAAGGCAAAGATAACCAGAGAACTTCAAGATAAGTAGTTTGTATCAAAATGTGCATAGCAGACAGGGAGCATCACCTCCTTTGTGATGTTTTTGGAAACGCTTGGTAAAGAGAGGAGAGGAGGAACGCGGATATACCATGGCAGGGGCAAGCCGCGAAAACTGGGGTTTGTTTGGCAAGTGGCAACAAGTTGCACAGTGAGTCAGTTCACCGACTGTGACGCCCTGCAAACACTCTTTAAATCTGTCTAGAACGCTGCCATCTCTCAAGTGCAAACATGCCATTATCAGACTGGATACTGGTGTAATTAGTATATTATATTTCGCGCACGAAAAAAAACTTTATTTTTCAAATTTTAAGATTCATTTAATTTTTTCTCTATCAAGCGAAAGACAATTATGAGTGTCTCGTCGATTAAAAAAATCTAGATTATTGCTTCAACCTAATTAAAAAAATTTTTTTTTTAAATTTCTGATATAATAGCAGGTCATCGCCCCACTTAAGCCCAAGTTTTGATTGACTCGACACTCGGACAGTTATTTTACCCGATTAGTAACGCTGCATACTATCCCAAAAGTTCTACATTTTCTGCCAAGTTATTACTGTAACACATTTCCTAAGGATGCCCGAAACAATTTTTCTGGCTTGAGTGGCTGGGTAAATAAGTGAAATACATGAAGATTTATGGTGACATCCTTTTGTTTTAGTTTAGTAGCTTATAAAAAAAGCTGGATCTTTTATTTCGGTTTAACATCTGTTGTTAGGTCGTGAGGGCGGCGTAAAGAGGGGAACTGTTGTGATGCTAGGCTCGCGTGTGCGCTCGTGGCGGTCACAGATAATTTGAAAACGTTTAAATTTTCCGTGTCTTAAAAATCAGTTTTCAAGTAGAAATAGAAATTTTATACCCCGTAAAAAGATCTGAGGGCCGCGATGACACCGTAGTTTTCTTGTGGTTAACGCTGGCAACAAACTCTTTAATGATATAAAAAGGCGTACAAAACATCAACAAAATACATCCGTATTCAGATATATTGTATCCTAATTTTAACCTGAAATTGCAACACCGTGACTGTTTTCAACACGCCTGAGATGACTATTTAGTTTTTTGAAAGAAAAGGTTGAAGAATGCAAAATATCCCCTTCACAAGCTTTTCATCGAAACCACCGAAGTTTAAACGCTGTCCTTGTAATTAGAGAGAGACACCGTGTAACAAGACCGCAACAAAAGGGGCAGAAAAATAAGAAATATTTTTATGAATTCTCAGGACGCAGACTGTCTATACTTAAGTACTAGTAATTTCCATTCGAAGACGCGTTCGTGCTAGTTGGTACCAGAAATATTTAACCAGAATAATAAGACAGAACGTTATTACTAGAAAAGGCGTGGGGACTTAAAGGACTATTTAAAGTGAGCATGGGAGATAGGTGGGATAATTAACGATGAAGTCACCTTAATGAAATGACTGGACAGTAAGCTGAGTGTCCGAGGGTTTTTAATGCCTCATGCAATGGGTGAGCAAACCGTGAGAATTTCCTGGTCTGTCGAAGACGAGGGAGCTAATTGAATTTCAAATGTTATTTTTGACTGTCACGCGAGCAATTACACCTCTCTGGTCACAGTTATGCTGGCAATTCTGACATCTGCCAAGCTCTAGATACACCACCGTCAGTTTTAGATGTCATTGTTAATTGATAATTGGACTCGAGAGAGGCTATAGATCTACCTTATCACTAGAGCTTTAGAAAGAGGCTGCAGTCCCCCAGTGCATTATTGTTAAATGGCAGTTTCTTGACTTAATTACTTTATTTTTAATTCCACTGAGACTAAAATTAGCAAACTTACGGTTTGAATATTCTTATTTATCTTAAATTATTTTAAATAAATTGGGTAAATTTTTAATAACCCAGTTATTTATTTTTTTCTCTTTTACAAGAAAGATTCCACCTGGAACGGTATTATTTCATTATCTGCCGGAATTCTAATATTTTGTGTGGGGGGAATGACACTGGGAGAATTACCCTTCACCCGACATCTGCCAAAAAACCTGGAATACCTTTACCTCGGCTGTTTGTGCTTTATTTTGTTGAGATTGTTTACCGGTGTCTAAGAGCTATCTCCCCTTTCTCTTCAAGTGCAGTAATTGACACTTCATCACTTTACCTGAGCGTCTGACAGCTCGATTTTTCGGTGCTTTTTTTGTAAACCTTGTTAATCAAAAACTGCCTGATCGGCACAGCAGGGGGAATTTTTTTCTTTTAATTCTAAAAGCCAATTATAAATACCACATATTTTCATGGGGTTCTTCTATTGCGGAAATTTTGTTATCATGTTTTTTGGGGGGTCAGATTTTAGAACGAATGTCGGCTTGTATTTTAACTCTATAAAAATAAAGAATAATATTAATTCTAAAAAATCGTCACATTTACTTGGGACTGTAGTTAAGTAATAACCTTGAGGTTTTTCTGTGTTAGTACAACCAAGTGTACGTCAGGATTTAATAAACGACCTGTCTCCATATTTTAGGAGACCAGTAGGATCTTCGCACGGGACGGGTGTTATATGGGGCCTGTTATAAAAGCTGACAAGTCACAGGAACCGGTGTTCTTATGGCCCATCCTGTAGTACAGACTACCCTTTCAACTCACACACCACCGACTTGCTCAACCCCACTGTGCTAGGATATCGCCAACTTAAAACAAACCAAATAGCAGCACTTAAATTGCTGCTGTTTACAACTTGCCCACCATGTCATTGAATTCACTGGGACTAGCCCCACCACTACTACTACTATTACTGCTACCTCCAGATAAACCTACAGGAGTTTAAAACCTATGATAAAGTCCAAAAATTAAGAGAACAATTTTCCTAGGAAGTAAACCCAATAGACTAGCTTTCCGTGTTATTTGGGGTAGTAGAAGATGGGCATAAAGGTCGTGGATATGATAAAAGTGAACGCTCTCCTCGGACTTACCTGTGCCATAGCCGTGCATGCCCTGGTTACCGTAGTAGCGATCAGACTGGGTAGATCTGTAGAACATGTCCATATCAGCGTCCGCTGTAAGCATGGGGTTAGGGGCCTCCAGTCCCGTGGGTCGGCTCACGTCGGGTCGTACCCAGGCAGACGCTGCTGAGCTCTGTTGGTGCTCGCTAGCAATATCCATCACTGTGTTTACGATGAAGTCGAAGTCAGTGTAGTAATAGTTATCTTATCAATGATCGTTCAGTTAGATGTCGACGACTGATCAAGACTCGTAGTAAGCTACCAATGTTGATGACTACGATGTACTCTGTCTAACTTAAGTGAAAACCAAAGATAAATGATGAGTGATAGGGACGAGATGCTGTCCTTTAAAGTAGCAAGGTGTCCAAGAGGGTTGGCCGAGCTGTGGAATTGCAGTCACTGCTGAGCCAATCAGATAGCGGCGCCGGGTGATGACGTCGTCTCGCTTGGCCTGGAATATGCAAATGAGCATTTACAAATCATCAATGACAGCACGGGTTGGTTATTTATCTACGTCACGTGTGATTTATGGCCCCCTAACACGTATATGGGGGGTGGTCAACAGAAGTGACTGGCTGTCCCTGCCACCCCACCGGTCTGGAGAGAGAGAGTGGACACGGGTGTTTTACAAACAACTTTTTGGGAAACAATCACCGGGCTTGCAGCCGTCGCCTGCCATGTTGTGTTTCGTGTGATATACACGGTTGACTAGACCAGGACGACAAGCTTCGCCTTACTATTCCGAACAGAACACGGAGGCACACTGCAGTTTGCCACTGGTATCTACCCCAACCATCGGTACAACCAAAACATGTCCACGCGTGCGCTCTTACAACTCGTGTTTTTAAACAAACAGAAGGAATTTCGCTTCGTTGCGGACTAACTAACCTGCATGTAAACTAACTAACCTGCGGAAAGCACAAAAATTGGGAGAAAAAATCGAAACTCGTGCTTACTTCCGTGCTGCCTTCTCTCGTCTCTTGCTCACTCGTTGGCCTTTTCTCCGAAGTTTTCTCAAGGTTTTCAAAACACGAGACGGTGTAAAATGGGCCCCACTAAACAAGTGAAGATTGTTTCACCCTTTTCTGCACATTTTTCAAGCACCGAGGCGCCATGAGCCCACGCTTCGCAGACATCAATGGCGAGACGTACAAAAAAATACCCAATCACAACAACTATTACAAAACCCACCCATTTCTGTTTAAACAACACAAATCAAAGCCTCTCTCACATTGGCTGGCGTTAATTCAACGAGTGATCCTCTTAATCCAGAAGTGTCAATCATAGGGGCGAGAATAAACTAACAAATGGTAAATGACTGGTTTAGGTAGACTTCTCGTTTTACGTTCAGGGTAATAAGATGAGTTCAGATGTGTGGGGCAGATTTTGTATTACCTCAGCTCGGTCTTTCTTCCCTTTTGTTGTTTAAGAGACCGAAACAGCAAAATTACTATGTTAACAGGCATATTCTACATTATATTTTTACTGTGCATCCATTGTGCTTTGTTCTGTGATAGAAGCAACTCCTAAAAGACCTGAATAAAATGTTGAGGTAATGCTATATCGTAGCACTTTGGAAAAAAATCCCAGTATTCGAGNGTGTGTTAGTACAACCAAGTGTATGTCAGGATTTAATAAACGACCTGTCTCCATATTTTAGGAGACCAGTAGGATCTTCGCACGGGACGGGTGTTATATGGGGCCTGTTATAAAAGCTGACAAGTCACAGGAACCGGTGTTCTTATGGCCCATCCTGTAGTACAGACTACCCTTTCAACTCACACACCACCGACTTGCTCAACCCCACTGTGCTAGGATATCTCCAACTTAAAACAAACCAAATAGCAGCACTTAAATTGCTGCTGTTTACAACTTGCCCACCATGTCATTGAATTCACTGGGACTAGCCCCACCACTACTACTATTACTGCTACCTCCAGATAAACGTACAGAAGTTTAAAACCTATGATAAAGTCCAAAAATTAAGAGAACAATTTTCCTAGGAAGTAAACCCAATAGACTAGCTTTCCGTGTTATCTGGGGGTAGTAGAAGATGGGCATAAAGGTCGTGGATATGATAAAAGTGAACGCTCTCCTCGGACTTACCTGTGCCATAGCCGTGCATGCCCTGGTTACCGTAGTAGCGATCAGACTGGGTAGATCTGTAGAACATGTCCATATCAGCGTCCGCTGTAAGCATGGGGTTAGGGGCCTCCAGTCCCGTGGGTCGGCTCACGTCGGGTCGTACCCAGGCAGACGCTGCTGAGCTCTGTTGGTGCTCGCTAGCAATATCCATCACTGTGTTTACGATGAAGTCGAAGTCAGTGTAGTAATAGTTATCTTATCAATGATCGTTCAGTTAGATGTCGACGACTGATCAAGACTCGTAGTAAGCTACCAATGTTGATGACTACGATGTACTCAGTCTAACTTAAGTGAAAACCAAAGATAAATGATGAGTGATAGGGACGAGATGCTGTCCTTTAAAGTAGCAAGGTGTCCAAGAGGGTTGGCCGAGCTGTGGAATTGCAGTCACTGCTGAGCCAATCAGATAGCGGCGCCGGGTGATGACGTCGTCTCGCTTGGCCTGGAATATGCAAATGAGCATTTACAAATCATCAATGACAGCACGGGTTGGTTATTTATCTACGTCACGTGTGATTTATGGCCCCCTAACACGTACATGGGGGGTGGTCAAGAAAAATGACTGGCTGCCCCTGCCACCCCACGGGTCTGGAGAGACAGTGGACACGGGTGTTTTACAAACAACTTTTTGGGAAACAATCACCGGGCTTGCAGCCGTCGCCTGCCATGTTGTGTTTAGTGTGATATACACGGTTGACTAGACCAGGACGACAAGCTTCGCCTTACTATTCCGAACAGAACACGGAGGCACACTGCAGTTTGCCACTGGTATCTACCCCAACCATCGGTACAACCAAAACATGTCCACGCGTGCGCTCTTACAACTCGTGTTTTTAAACAAACAGAAGGAATTTCGCTTCGTTGCGGACTAACTAACCTGCATGTAAACTAACTAACCTGCCGAAAGCACAAAAATTGGGAGAAAAAAATCGAAACTCGTGCTTACTTCCGTGCTGCCTTCTCTCGTCTCTTGCTCACTCGTTGGCCTTTTCTCCGAAGTTTTCTCAAGGTTTTCAAAACACGAGACGGTGTAAAATGGGCCCCACTAAACAAGTGAAGATTGTTTCACCCTTTTCTGCACATTTTTCAAGCACCGAGGCGCCATGAGCCCACGCTTCGCAGACATCAATGGCGAGACGTACAAAAAAATACCCAATCACAACAACTATTACAAAAACCACCCATTTCTGTTTAAACAACACAAATCAAAGCCTCTCTCACATTGGCTGGCGTTAATTCAACGAGTGATCCTCTTAATCCAGAAGTGTCAATCATAGGGGCGAGAATAAACTAACAAATGGTAAATGACTGGTTTAGGTAGACTTCTCGTTTTACGTTCAGGGTAATAAGATGAGTTCAGATGTGTGGGGCAGATTTTGTATTACCTCAGCTCGGTCTTTCTTCCCTTTTGTTGTTTAAGAGACCGAAACAGCAAAATTACTATGTTAACAGGCATATTCTACATTATATTTTTACTGTGCATCCATTGTGCTTTGTTCTGTGATAGAAGCAGCTCCTAAAAGACCTGAATAAAATGTTGAGGTAATGCTATATCGTAGCACTTTGGAAAAAAAAATCCCAGTATTCGAACAGTGCGTGTTGGTCTTTGGCCAAAACGGCAGTCGTCAGAAAAAAAAGGAAGAAAAGAAAAAGAAAAAGCCCAGGAATAAATCAACTCCTGCACAAGTCCCTCTGCTGGTTAATTACACATTAACAACTAGCGTGAAATTTAACTGAAAATTGAAACGTCTTGGCGCAGTTAACTTAAGTTGACTCTTTCTCTCTCTGAGCACGACGACGGCGGGTGGTGAACGGCGCGTCCAAGTCGGACTCCGTGCCACCGTCAGTGACTTAATTCTCCGGTTCATTACTCCCCGCTATTGGGTAAGGTGTTCTAATGACGAGAGTCTGACCACCGATAGCCATGATAGGGGGATAATTAATTAAGACGATACAGCGACCGGAGTCCAGACAGTACGGCGTAACGGGGGAATCCCAGTGGATAGGGATGCGCCGGTCAGGCGTTAATTGTCATGATCGCGACCTGATTATCTCGATAGAGGAGCTGATAGGATTGGAAAGTAAAACAAACAATTGCGTCGCCGAGACTTTTTTCCACGTAGGTAGTCTAGGGTCTAGCATTGAGGACCTTTTCTAACGGTACCCGGAATCCAAACATCCGCCGCCCCCCTCCCGCCCCAGCTAGCGACAGTGATAACAACGCTAGAACACTGCAAGATAGAAGAACAATGAAAAAAATTAGGGAACCGTCCTAAAATGTTGGCGGGAGGGATATCTTGCAGACAAACAGTAATTAGACACTGTATCAGTGCTGCGATAAAGCTTGATCATGGAAGATTGTATTATTGTGAAATAAGTCATGAAAATTCTGCGACATGGCTGTGTCTGTTCCAGACGTCCCCTCTGTGTCTAAACTTAGCGTCTTCGACAACCATCTATAATTTCAACTTTTACCCAACCTTAAGCTAAATTAAGAAAAAATATTATTTATGTCTTTAAGGCAACATAATTGATTTTTAAAAATGGGTGTGTGCTATCAAATTATTATGTTTTTCATTCTCAAACTAAAATGATAAAATTGAAAAGTAATAATACTTAACCAATAAGTAGAAGTGTTGCTATGCAGAGGTAGATATGAGTTGCACATCTTACTTGTTTTATTTTTTTAAGTCTGTTGATATTGGAGGCATTCTGTAAATATATATATTTATGGGATTTTTTGGGTAAGAATAACTCTTCCCCTCTCTAATTTTCCGATGCTCTCTACTATGTGTTTTCTAGTATGGACTACAAAGTTACAATGGATATATAATACATGAGAAAATACAGAAAAATGTGCACGTGGAAAAGCGTTCATTGCAATTGTATTGTTTTTATGTGGAACGGTCAGTTTGTAATTGTTTGCTACTTTAAACTGAAAAAATTACATACTAGATTATTCAATGAATGTAAGTTTGAAAAATTCAGCATGTAACTAAAATAATAACATAAATGAAATCTGTCTATTTTGACCTGCGGTGAAGTCACTGGCCACAGATAACTTTTCCCAGTGTAAATATACTTTTGGAGGCTGATTTTTTTCTGGGCAAGAAGAAATTTAACATTGTTATATCCTGCTTTGTTAAATGTCAGCTGTTCAGTTGTGGTAAGTTTTGATTAATTCCACACCTTAAACGACTAAGAATTGTTGAGAAAACCCATAGTACAAAGTCACAAAAAGTAGTTTCCTTAATTTAGGCAGATGCCTTTAACAAAAAACTACAAAAGAAAAAAGTGAAAATTCATGAAAAAGTAGGACACATAATACATATAAATATCCGACCTCTTACCTCCTAATCTGCCACTAGTTTACTCTGTGTGGAAATGAGTAGCTTTAATACAGCCGTTCTTAGTCTGTGTACTTGTATATACCCGAGGTTTATATCTTTGTATATCTCTCTGTCTATATAAGATTAACATTGAAATCTACATAAACTACCGCGGCGAATTTAGATGGTAGCCATGATTTCATAAACCCATTGCCCCCCTCATGATTATAGATAGGTGATGGCACTAACTCGTACATGTTTGTGTGTTGTTTACATGTTAACACATGGAAAAAAAACTATACTTATGATTATGAAGTAAGAATTTAATCTACGCAAGTTATTTGCCGAAGGCGCGTCCCTGTATTACAACACCCTTGCTAGAGTTGGATTACAATATGTTTAGGGAACGCCAATGAAATAACAAATTGGCTTCACGTTCCTAGTAGAAGAAGAAATGATAAACCATTGTTGAGTTTAAAACAATAAAAAAAAACAGGATTATCCAAAAGATTTTTAGAACAGGATCTCTGCATCTTGCGCCCACGTGCCGCTGTCGTCTTCCTTCTTGAACAGTGACAGATTAAGCAGGCCGTAAACTCTCTCGGCCCAGCAAACTGTCAAATATCTAGCCACAGTTTATTCACAACTTCTTGGAAAGATTACAACAACTGGTAAAACAGATGTCTTTATAAACAAAGGCGCGTGGCGAAGAAAAGATAAGGAAAAAGAGTTGAGAGGGTAACATAGGGTATCGATTGTAATCTGAAAGAGTTAGCTTCGATAAGGGAATGTTACAGTAATTTAAGTAAATTTTAACACAATATTTAGTTTGGTAATAAGCGTAGGCCCACCGACCGTACTTTAGCCACCTAATCCACGGCGCGTGCTGGTAATTTTTTATTGAGAGGAAACTAAAGTCAACAACATAATGCAATATTTAAACTCGACTGCCAATTAAAACAAAATCTTAATCTGCCAGATATTTATACAGTGGCATTGGACAACAGAGATCTCGAGACACTTTGCTCCTGCTCTCCACACGCAGCGAGAACAACAACAACGCGAAGCTGAAGTCACGTCTCCAGTGATGTTTTCTATCCACGCTGGGTGCCTAGGTCTGAGACGCTGCAAGAAGGAAGCCTGGCTTACGGACACACTTTCCAGCCCTACATGTAGTAACTAAATGATGTGACAGACAGGGTCCCTTCTGCTCCCCGCCTCCTCTCTCCTCTAATTCTTAATTTTTAAAAATTATTTTTATATTTCTTGACAAAATGCAATTCACCTTAAAAGGCTTTCTCAAAATACCATAGAAGTAGTAGATGACGAACAAAAATCATGCGCAATTTTAAATGTCTTTGATTTTTTTCTGTTAAAACTGTCAATGCATTATGATAAATATTATTCCAAGTCGTATACAATTGAAATGTTAACATTAGCTTTTCAGCTATTCACTAACAGAAAATATTTAGCTGTGATACTAATAGTAAACGTAATAATAACAAGTACCACTAGTTTCTGCGACATTCAGTTTTCAATATAAATTACAAGTCTATCTTGATGTGTTAATATTACACATGCTGCACTTGTATTTGGGTCCTTCCCAGAGTTTAAGTAATAGATTTTACTTCACCCAACCTAACAGTTTTTCTTGGTTCGACCAGTCAATCATCCCAAAGTTTTGGCCTGGGATAAGAGAGAGATTTTATTACCATAACTTGTTGCGTTGAACCGGGGATATTAAGATTTTAATTTTCTCTGGGGTTAAAATAATTGATTCCGTCTGTTATAATCTACTGATCATCTACTGAAGGTTTTCTCGCTCGTCTACCAGGTTTCAAGTGGTTTGTTTCCATGTCGTTTTGTCAGAGCACTCGACACTTAATAAGTCAGCGTTTATAACTTATAATACTTCCTAATTTTTGTTTCAATATGTTGTATCAGAGAAGCATCCCGACCAATTAAAGTTATAATATTATAATAGAAGCTTGTCTGTCTTTCTCTGGCTTGTTCTTCTTTATTTAAAGTCGGAGGTAGCACTTCCCGGTCTGATAGAACAGAGGAAGCAGATTCCAGATGTAGAAGAAGATAGATTGATAGTCTACGTGATAAGTCTTACCATCAGATGAATGATAATATCAAAACTGTTCTCTTATTACGGTAGTATTGCTTTTTGTATCCCAACAGAAAAATTTATATCCATCAATTTGCTAGATTGGTGTTTATTCATCATTGGAGTATTCTTTGATGTTGTATTTACATTTAAATGTTTTTATTCGGCATAGAAGACAAATAATCCGCCAATTTTTGAGTTAATATTTCAATATTTTTATACAATATATCGGAAATTATTCCCTGAAACCATTTCAGTCCAAGCATTTGTCGCATTAAGAACGGTTGCTCTAGTCTGTGTAGAGCTAAGCTTATTACAACGGTATACTAGCATTTAATGAGCTTCATATATAGAACATGCAGAGAAAACAACTTGAAAATTGCTCAATAATGTTTTGGGATAAAAGCCTTCCTTTGTCAGGGTGCAGTAGGGCAGGGAGCTTTAAGCTTCTCTTACGTCCTAAAACCGAGATCATTTTAAACAGATCTAAGAGCACTTGAGGCTAACGGCGAGTTACTCCGGCGACTTCTAAGCCAGGTTCGTCGCGGGCACCTTGATGCCAGCTAATGACACGTAATGAGTCTCCATTTCTTTTTTTCTTGGCCACTGACAGCGATACATTTGAATCGATGCGGCGAATAAAACCGGCGGCGTACGCAAAGTTGCGCAA